CAAGAGACAAAGAAGAACAGTATATATGAATAAAATATTAAATACAGCAAAAAGGTATTACTATTACAAACATTTATACACCAATGACAGATCATCAAAATACAGGAAGCAAAAACGGAGAGAATTGAATGGAGAAACAGACAATTCTACAATAATTGTTGGAGACTTTAATATTTCACTCTCAAAAATGGATAGAACAGGCCAGATGTGGTGGCTCATGCCTGTAATCCCAGCACTTTGGGAGGCTGAGGCCGGCGGATCATTTGAGGTCAAGAGTTGGAGACCAGCCTGGCCAACATGGTGAAACCCTGTCTTTATGAAAAATGCAAAAATTAGCTGGCCATAGTGGTGGGCACCTGCAATCCCAGCTACTTGGGAGTCTGAGGCAGGAGAATCACTTAAACCCGGGAGGTGGAGGATGCAGTGAGTTGAGATTGCGCCACTGCACTCCAGCCTGGGTGACAGTGTCAGACTCCGTCTCAAAAAAGAAAGAAAGAAACAAGAAAGACATAAATTGCTTCTTCCTCTCTTCCTTTCCTCCCTCCTTTCCTTCCTCCCTCCCTCCCTCTCAAAAAAAAAAAGAAAGATGTAAAATCAACCACCAAATTTTGCAACTTAAGGAACTAGAAAAACAAACTAAACTCAAAGCTTCAGAAGGAAATAACAAAGATTAGAGCAAAGATCAATGAAATAGAGAATAGAATAAACAACAGAAAATTAATAACATCAAATGTTCATTTTTTTGAAAAGATCAACGAAATCAAGAAAACTTTAGCTAGATGAACTAAGAAAAAAAGAGTGAAGACTTAAGTTATTAAAATCAGAAATAAAAGTGGGGAGATTGCTACAAGTTCTATAGAAATGACAAGCACTGGCCGGGCGCGGTGGCTCACGCCTGTAATCCCAGCACTTTGGGAGGCCGAGGAGGGTGGATCACAAGGTCAAGAGATCGAGACCATCCTGGTCAACATGGTGAAACCCCACCTCTACTAAAAATACAAAAAATCAGCTGGGCATGGTGGCGCGTGCCTGTAATCTCAG